ATTGATTTTTTTGAGTTAATCTTGTATCCTACCACATTACTGAAGGTGTTTATCAGCTGTAGGAGTTCCCTGGTAGAATTTTGGGGGTCACTTATAATCTCATTAAATGCTGAAAAAAATCTTTGACAAAATCCAACACCCCTTCATGATAAAGGTCTTGGAGAGATTGGAAATATAAGGAACATGCCTCAACACTATTTGCTGATGATAAGTGACCCCCAAAATTCTACTAGGGAACTCCCACAGCAAATAGTGAAAATTTGACTTCTTCCTTTCCAATTTATATCCCTTTGATCTCCTTTTGTTGTCTTATTGCTCTAGCTAGAATCAATACTATATTGAATAAATATGGGAAAGTGGACAGCCTTGTCTTGTTCCTGATTTTAGTGGAATCCCTTTGAGTTTCTCTCCATTTAATTTGATGTTGGCTCTTGGCTTGCTGTAAATTATTACCTTAATTATGTTGAGGCATATTCCTTATATTTCCAATCTCTCCAAGACCTTTATCATGAAGGGGTGTTGTCAAAGATTTTTTTCAGCATTTAATGAGATGACTATGTGTTTTTTTTTCTTTTCTCATATTTATATGGTATATTACATTGACAGATTTTTCATATGTTGAACCATCCTTACATCTCTGGCATGAAGCCTACTTGGTCATGGTGGATAATTTTTTGATGTGTTCTTGGATTAACATGCAATTGTTGGTGTTCTGTAATTTTTATTGTTGTTGAAATCTAACTTTAAGCCATGTGGTCCTATAAAATACAGGAGGTTATTCCAATTTTTTTTTGTATCTGTTGAGAGTTGCTTTGTGACCAAGTATGCTGATTTTATAGAAAGTTCCATAGGGTGCTGAGAAGAAGGTTATTCTTTTGTGTTAGGATGGAATGTTCTGCAGATATCTATTAAGTCCATTTGAGTTATAACATTTGTTAGGTCTCTTATTTCTCTGTTAAGTTTCAGTCTGCCTCTCCATTGGTGAGAGTGGGGTTTGATGTGTGGTTTAAGCTTTTTAATATTACTTTTACATATGTGGATTCCCTTGTATTTGGGACAAAATGTTCAGAATTGAGAATTCATCTTAGTGGATATTTCCTGTGATGAATATGTAATGTCTTTCCAACTCTCTTTTGATTGATTTTAATTTGAAGTTTATTTTGTTACATATTATGATAGCTACACCAGCTTGCTTAAGTCAATTTGATTGAAAAGTCTTTTCCTAGCCTTTTACTCTGAGGTAGTGTCTATCTTTGAAGTTGAGGTGTGTTTCTTGTATGCAGCAGAAGCATGGATCCTGATTTTGTATTCATTCTGTTAGCTTGTGTCTCTTTATAGGTAAGTTTAGTCCATTGAAATCAAGGGATATCAATGACCAGTGATTGTTAATTCCTGTTATGTTTCAGTGGTAGTGGTAGAGTATTTCTCTTCTTTGGGATTTATTGTTGTGGGGTTATCTATTACTTATGTTTTCATGGGTTCATCTGACTTCCTCAGGTTGGAGTTTTACTTCTAGTGCTTTCTATAGGGATGGGTTTGTAAATAATTACTGTTTAAATCTGGATTTGTCTTGTTCACTACATCTATGGTGATTGAAAGTATTGCTGGGTATATTAGTCTAGGCTGGTATCCATGGTCTTTTAATGTCTGCATTATACTTGTCCAGGCCCTTCTGGCTTTCAGAGTCTCCATTGAGAATTCGGATGTTATTCTGATGGGTCTGCCTTTATAAGTGACTTGGCCTTTTTCCTTTGCTGCTCTTAATATTTTCTCTTTACTCTGTATGTTTAGTGTTTTAAATATTATGTGGTGAGGGGACTTCTTATGGGGATCTAGTCTATTTGGTGTTCTATAAGCTTCTTGTATCTTCACAGGCATTCCCTGCTTTAAATTGGGCAAGTTTTCTTCCATGATTTTGTTGAATATATTTTCTGTGCCTTTGAGTTGGTATTATTCTATCCTTATTATACTTAGGTTTGGCCTTTTCATGATGTCCCAGATTTCCTGAACATTTTGAGTTATGATTTTTTTGGCTTTGATGTTTTCTTTGACTGATGAATCTATTTCCTCTATTGTATCCTCTACACCAGAGATTATTTCTTCCATCTCTTGTGTTCTCTTGGTTATGCTTGCATCTGTAATTCCTGTTCATTTACTCAGATTTTCTATTGTCAACATTCCCTTGGTTTGTTTCTTCTTTATTTTTGCTATTTCAATT